ACAAACATGCTGCAAGAACCAAAAACTAAGAGAAAAAGGGACCGGATCCTTATTTCTAATTCACCAAAACATACAACAATATTACATTCACGCCAATGCAGCATGTGCACAGGGTAAACCATAGAGCTGCCACCGGCGGCATGAGCAGACACGACTTCGAATATTCACAATATTTGTCCGCTCAGTTGACACAATCTCAAACTCGACTTCATTAGCACGGAGTACTTGACAGCAGCGAGCATCAGCGATTGCCTCTGAAATCCGCTTCTCAGCAGATGGTACAAGAATTGAGGTCCATCTCATCCCCATATCACGCCGAGAATTAAACCAAGTTGCTAATTGATAGCGAATATGTTCCATCATTTGCACAATTGGGAGCTCATGACATTCAAGAGCCCAATTATATATAAAAGTGAATTTCCAGTAATTTCACTTCTCTTTATGTGTATATTTCCTTAGAGATAAAGTATGAAAACGCGCGGAAGGGGTGCTTTAATGCTAAATTGTTGAATCAATTAAGCTGACATGTTGTTTTTCAGTTTCAGCTAAATTTCTTTGATCCAGGGAGCTCATCAACAGCTTCATTAGTATCTTGTTCAGACCAAAGATGTAATTCATGTCTTCAATCATCAGATTTTATCTGTGAATCTAACAGCAACCAGTGCCATTACAATATCACATATGTAGATGGCAGTGGGACGATAGGCTACTATGTCTCGGATTTGTTGCAGTTTGATACAGTTCTTAAGGGCTCTGTCACTACAAATTCTACAGGAACCATTAAGTTCGGGTGAGCTAACAGAATTTCTCGAGTTTAAGATGCTAATTGCTTTAATTTATTTGTTTTTGCTTGTTATATGGTTCATAATTCATTTCTTCAAATGTTGGATTATGAAACAGGTGTAGTGTCTTCCAGAGTGGTAGCTTGACGGAGTCAAATGGAGCGGTGGATGGGATCTTTGGGTTTGGACCGCAGAATTTGTCAATTATCTCTCAACTTGCTTCAAAAGGAATAGCACCCAATGTATTTTCCCACTGTTTGAAGGGAGATAACAGTGGTGGAGGCATACTGGTTCTTGGAAAGATTGTGGAGCCCAATATAGTTTATATCTCGCTTGTTCCATCCCAGTACGTTATTTTGGAATGATTTTTCTCTTAATCTTTGTGAGGTAAGGCTGACAAGCACCATTTTTTATATATTATAATTAACATTTTCTAGAAGTTTAGAGCAGTAACTTTTCTACATTTGCTTCTTTATGTTTTGGGTCACATGGCTTACAAGTGGCGGATTAGATGGCACCACTAGAAAAATTCTATTAGTCTAAGTTAACTCGGATATTTGTTAAATAGGTTTTTTTGACATAAAATTAATAATTTATAAATTATTTTGAAAAAAAAAATTATTTTTAAATTAAACTAAAATAAACTATATAATTAATAGGTTATTTATTGGATTTTGTCAACGTGGTTGCTGCTGTTGCAGGCTAAAATGGGTAGCATTTTTTGGGCCATAAGAATTTTGAAGCTGCAGCCCAATGTTAGCCCACTCGTTAATGGGTCTACTAGTCTGTCTACGGGTACGGGTGAATACTAAATACTAATTTATTTTGAACTTCATATTACCAGTTGGACTTTAGGCACTGATTACGATGAAATATATATATATATATATATACGGTAAAGTGGCCATCAGTCCTACCTCCTAAAAAAATTTGGAGTCCCAACCCAAAACGGCGTCGTTCTCTAATCCCAGCCCCTCCGTTTTGCCTTTACCTCTTCTGCAATCATCTCCATCTCTATCTCCAATTCCTTCTCCATCGCCTCTCATCTCCATCGACTCCTCCGAATCCTTCGATTCCACTGCAATTCATCTTTTCCGTCGGCAGTGACCCCTGCTTTTTTTCACTTCTTCTGCAATCATCTCCATCTCCATCTCCATCTCCATCTACATCTCCATCGATTCCTCCAATTCCTCCAATTTTTCAAATGCAATCCCACGCCAGCGGCTTAATCCCCAACACCCACTACTTTAACCCCATTATGTTGCTGCAATTCATCATCTCCATCGATTCTACGACTGCAATTCATCATTCTTGCCTAACTCTTCCTTCTTCGGCTTAACCCCAAAAAAATTGAACTATATATCACATGAATATCATTTTGCATCACAAAATTTGATACGATTACGATGACCGTGAGAAAGACTGTGACCGCCACCACCATCACCACCGCTCAGAGTCCTCTGCAAAGCCCAAGACTGAAGCAGCCACTAAAGCCGCTTCTATATCTCCAACAACAACTGCCGCAGACAAGAAGCATAAGGGGAGCATCTTCTCTCGCATATGTTTTCCCGAGGAAGAGGCCAATAAGAGACGTAAGCTATCCTCTGAACCTGCATCTTCTTCTGCTCATGACAAGGCAGCTTCCAATGGTTACCACGATGAACATAAGTCATCATCCTCTGCTGCTGCTGCCCAGGCTGTTTTCACTGGTGTAAAGAAGAGCAGTAGCAGTGCGATAGATTATGAGTCTAGCGACGATGAGCGGCATTTCAAGAGGAAGCCTTCAAGGTATGAATCATCACTTCCACCAATGGCTGAGAGGGAAGATAAGCCACGGCATTCAAAGGGGTCTAGAGAACGAGAACGGAGCGGCTATGGTAAACACAGATAGAATGCAGAATGCTGGCTCTGGTAGTATAGCTGCACTGCTTGCTTCTGCTTTTTCCTTTTCATTTTTTTTTATTCTGGCTGCTGCTGCTGCTGCGTTTGCATCCTTGGTGCAGATGAAAAATTGTTGGCATATACACAAGAAACCCACTGATTTTTTGCAGTAATGTCAGGTTTTTTTGCTGCCCCTGTTCAAGTAATCTTCTTGGGTTTGTTTGTTCATCACAGTAGTTGGGTTTCACTTCTTTTGTTTTTTTGGTGAACTCTATGTTATGAAATTTTGACATGATCTACTTGGATTAAGGGTAATTGGATCTTGATTTAGCTTTGGATATGATTCATTAACCTCTTGATTTTCTGTTGCACATGATGTACTATTAAATTCAGTTCACTTGGTTTTGAACAGTTTCCATTATAATCTGATTGGTGTTTGTTTTTTATGTTATTGAATTTTTATGACGATGGGTTGCTTACTTGAGTAAATGGGTATGGGAAAATTTTGTGATGCAAAATGATAGCTCATGTGATATATAGTTCAATTTTTTTGGGGTTAAGCCGAAGAAGGAAGAGCTAGGCAAGAATGATGAATTGCAGCGATAGAATCGACGGAGATGATGAATTGTAGCAGCATAATGGGGTTAAAGTAGTGGGTGTTGGGGATTAAGCCGCTGGCGTGGGATTGCATTTGAAAAATTGGAGGAATTGGAGGAATCGATGGAGATGGAGATGATTGCAGAAGAAGTGAAAAAAAGCAGGGGTCACCGTCGATGGAGAAGATGAATTGCAGTGGAGTTGGAGGATTTGGAGGAGTCGACGGAGATGAGAGGCGATGGAGAAGGAATCGGAGATAGAGATGGAGATGATTGCAGAAGAGGCAAAGGGAAGGGGCTGGAATTAAGAGACCGATGCCGTTTTAGGTTGGGACTCCAAATTTTTTTTGGGAGGCAGGACTGATGGCCACTTTACCGATATATATATATATATATATATATATATATGAAAAATCAAGAAGAGATTTGAGGGTGTGGTTATGGCCCATGTCATTTTCGTTCTTAGTAGTGCACCCCCACAATAGCTTATGCATTCAAGGTCAAGAGAATTACGTGCTGAGCCTAAAATTTAAAGGTTAAACTCCCCAAACTGCTCCCTCAACTATTGTGCTGGTCCCTAAGTTAGTCTATAAGCTAAAAAAGTTTTTGATTTGATGTTTAAAGTTTATAAATTTGACTTCAAATTGATTTTTTAATTAAAAAATAATTAACGTGTCATATTATTAACATAACATATGACTATTAGGTAACGGATATGTTAACTAATTATTAACAAAAGGACTAACTTGGAACTAAATTTGAAAACTTTGACAACAAAATCATGAATTTTTTTAGTTTAAGAACCAACTTAGGGTTTTCGTACAATAATTAAGGAAACAAATTAGGTGTTTAACCACATTTAAATTGTTGTATTGATATTAATTATGTTTTTAATTAACAGTTATGATTCAATTAAAATTATTCTTTTTGTCTATAATATTTATTGGGAAAAGTAAAAATTAAGATATTCTAACATTTAAAATGTTAAGACTCCATATAAAATTATTTAAATGCTTTTAATAAA